TGAACTGATAATTATGAAAGCAGTGTATATAGGCCAGAAACAGACGGAAGAGGAACCCCACAGCAAAAAATATGAGGAAGGTGGTCATTGTATCCTTCGGATCCTAAAATATGCCAATCAGGACTGACTTGCCTCAAGGTGTGAAGGAACAGTTCAGGTCTAGGAACTTACATCCCTGGCAAAGATTGTTTCCATTATGCCGAATCGATGATCGAAACTGTGGCCACGTTCTGCACAGCAATTGAACCGCACTACAATGGCACCACGACCCCTTTGCAGATGGAATGAATTGATATGAACTACCAGCCCGTTTCGATTATCACTCAGCCGAAATTGTAAGCACATTTCATTAATGGAGCGTTCATAGTTGGCGATCGTACGTGCGATTAGGCGATTAGGCGATTAGGCGATCAGTCTATAATGAAAAATATACGTATAGATTAGGCGATTAGGCGAGTAGGCGATTAGGCGAGTAGGCGATTAGGCGATCGCTCAATGGGCGGAGCAACAAATCAATACGTATCCTTCTTATCGCCTACTCGCCTAATCGCCTAATCGATACGTATACTTTTTTTGAATCATCGCCTAATCGCCTAATCGCACGTACGATCGCCAACTATGAACGCTCATAAGATGGTACGCTATACTGATGATAGGTTTCCGTGCTCTTTTGTAGCCCCTTCAATCAAAAGAAGATAACAAACCCCGGGACGTGAAATTCCATTCATAGTTCATGTTTAAGCAGATGCAGTGGTTCTGCTGAAAGGGCTGTGCACGTGTCGATTAGAAGAACCAAAGAACCGCGTAATCGCCCAATGGCCATAAATAGTCATAGAATGACGGGCAGAAGTGCTATCTCAACCCTTTAAGCATAACCGTCGGGAACTGCAGGCAGACCATTATGTAATGGACGAGATACTTCGCACACATCCATGACGTGCAATGTGGATTACGACGTAGCGGCTAATTCAAATACGCGCGGGTTAGTGGAGCCATGGAGCAAGCAAGTTCAGACAACTCGTCCGGACACGCCCCTCCCTCATTTCAAGGGAGAGGAAGGGAATACTTGTTAATGGCTTCTTCGGCGGTTTGCTTTAGTTCTTCTTTTTTCCTTTTTAGGCAGGTCGGATCCACAGCTCAAAATCTGCCGCTATTCCCCCACCAACTTGATCTGGGATTCGTGCTTCAAGTGTGCACGGCATACTGTTCCTGGACCCTTCTTGGTCAGTGCTGCAGCAAAGGCTTTGCTGAGTTCACCGGTAAGCCTGTCCAAAGTAAAGACATGCCCATGGTTTGAACAAATATCAGGTTGGAACGCTGTTTGACCAGGGCTTGAAAACATGAGCAATCGACGATAATGCGTTCGCATAGCGCTCTATTGAGTTTGACAATCGCGATCTCAAAGCGAATGGAAACCACTCTGTAAACAATGCGTCTTAGTAGCGGCATGTCCAAGCAGCAAGTAAGTATCATGCAAGTAAGGATCGTGATAGTTCACAATAATACAGTATTTTTGAAAACCCAAATAAGTACATAGGTGCTCAGTAATTTCATCCCCCTTTGTAGGAGAGATCAAGCGCCCTTTTTTCCAACTCCAAAAATTTGGCGACTCCTCCCCTTTATAGGATTCGTCTTCACCCGCACCTCCGCTACAATACCTGCCAACCATGACATATGGTATCTGATTCTGACCACTCGACACACTTTAACGACCGCCACTTCCCCCTCATAGTTGCTCCCCGTCGAGCGTGCATTACTTCCTCCTTACTTTATCAAATTTCCCCAATAACTTCGTAAAACCATAACCTCTCCAACTCCCACAAGTATAACCCCTCTTTCCAGCCTTTTGTCCTTCACTAACCCCAAATGTACGATCCCCTCTGAAAATCTCCAATATGCCCTCCCTCCCTGCCGCCCGCTCCACTCAGTTGAACACTGCCGAAAACTGTTGGCCCATGACTCATCGTCATGTCGAAAACATTTTAGTCGTGTTCAATTCCAGTGTTTTCGACTCGTTCTTTGGAGTTGCTTTTCAACAATTTTTTTCCCAAACAGTTTCAAATTTACCGTGGGGAGCTGCACGTACGATCGCGGTCGCATGTAGGGACAACCATCTTTGTGAATTTGAATATAAAATGGCTTCGTGGCAGCAAAACACACAAAGGGCTAGCAATACTGGAACGTCAAGCAGACACAGAATAAACATGACGGACCAATCCACAACACAGAATAAACATGACGGACCAATTAAATTCCAAAGAGGTGAAATCATCACTGTTATGCACAAGTGATATATAGTGACGCATTTTGCGATAGCACGAACATTTTGCCAAAAATGTACAAGCTGACAGCCATCATTTTACTTCTTCTACTGCTTTTCACGTGAGCAAGCTTTTATTTTAGAGTTATCCCAGAATATGCTTCAAATTTGACGTGAGGTTTGTTCTACACCCACAATTTTACCCTTGGTCGCCTTTGCGCCCTCCAAAGGGAGCTCAGGCTGTTTTGTGGACATCCTGTTCCAGCTCTTGTTAGGACGTTTTTCTGGTAGAGTCTTGGTCACTCTAGGGTGGGAAGAAGGAAAAGGAATGGTGGTCAATACATTCGCACCCCAGGGGAGCTCCCCATAGAGAATCCCTTTTCTTCGTTTTCCGCACTGCAACCCCTCTATCTCAAAAACTAACGCGGGAATGGGTTACCCCTTCCAGAAGACCGTCCTCGTTGAAGCTTTTTTTTCAAATACATGAAAAGAAGAGCAGTCCTGATCAATGTAGGGTGCCCTATCCGGCTAAGAAGGAAGAAGAGTTCCAGCCAATACCTATGCTCTACCGGAGGAGCTCCCCATAGGGGTCCCTTCGCTTCATATTTCGCAATCTTACCTCTCTTCTACACCAAACCTACCATCTACCTTGATCCATGGAGCGGGGATGGGGGACCCCCTCCAGAAAACCCTCCTCGTTGAACTTTGCTTCTTTGAATATGAAAAAAAGAGCACTCAAGGGTACCCTTTTTTGACCAAGAAGAAAGAAGGATTGTAGCCAATAAAATCTCACTCCAAAGGAGCTTCTCATAGGAGTCCCTTCACGCCCTCCTCCGCGCTGCCCTCAGTAGAAACGCTTACCTTCCAAACTGGTCCACGGCAGGGGTACGGCGGTGAGGGAAGCACCAAGGTTAGCAGTTTGAACCAAAATGCCGTTAAATTTTTTAACTTCCGAAATTCTCGAGGGAATCCTAAGTAGAAGTGCAGTGCTGATCCTACACAGTATGGCCTCTTTCATCAGGTAAGACGGGGGACAGAAACACGACCTCCCGTTGAACCTCAGCTTGGCTTGGATCTGCTGAGTGGGTAAACATTTTGAAGCATGACGACTTTGCGTTTGCTCTATCGATTATTATCAATAGCAGTTTGAATCATCTTAGGACATTCATAATGACGTTGCTTGCTTTGAAGAATAATTTTAAGCGAACCAGTTTTTCCATCAAGGAAGATACGTCCAAATCGTCCGCAGTCTGGCTCTGGAATGACAGTGTGGAAGAATGACAAGGCAAGCGTGAAGTAAGAAAGCTGTTATCATTCAGACATATACCTATCGCAAGATATGGTGGCATCTTCTAGAACTGCGCCTAGGAGGGGCAGGAACTCCTGAGAATTTGAGAATTGCTCATGCGCTCTGGAGCTCTCCTCTTCTGCCTAAGGCTTGCCTCCTTTTCAACAAAAGTAAAATAACTAATGCAGTTATAAGTGCAGTGCCACGACAATGCCCCATGTCTTTCTATAACGTCTCTAGATGTAAGAAAGGCTTTTCCTTCAGAATCACTAAAATCACCTATGTTAAAATTTGAAGAAAATTCTATGATGATGTTTGCGGTTCTTGACTTTTCAAAAGCGGGCGAATAGTATCAATAGCATAGTTTGTGGACTCGGAATTTGCATGTAACTTTTGCAGTTTCTAAATGATACCGCTTTATCGAAAACTGTGGGTGAAAACTTTGCCCCAGTCGGAGGATTAACACAAATTTCCCATATAAACCACCAGGGCCATTTTTCTACCTCAAAGGCAGGTGGCACAGCAAAATGTATGTTTAAAAGGGGAAATATGCATACTATGAAGGGAGGCTGAAACCCTTTTGCAGGAGAAAACTCCGAGTTACGGGCCGCAGCAGTGTCGGCAGCATATGCTGCCGACACGCCCACTAGTCTCTGACTGGCTGGCTCGTGTCTGCACGCAGTAACCTTTGTGGTGGTAGCCAATCACGGACGAGTGGGCGTGTCGGCAGCATATGCTGCCGACACTGCTGCGGCCCTTAACTCGGAGGGTTCTCCTGCAAGTCTGAGAAGAAAACGACACGTGATACTTTCACACCCAAGCGTGCGCTCTTAGGGACCTAATAAGGGTTTGCACTCACTCCTGAACGCTTTCGTGCCTCCGCACACCTCGGATGGCTCTGGTTCCTGACACTGGGAATCTATGTAGTGCTTTTAGCAAAAAAAGGCATAGCAGAGCAGTGGCTTGATGACGTCAGTGTCATTGGTTCATCTGGCGTGGAGACCAACGAAGAAAAGAGAGTCCCGCTCCTCGGGTTTTGGCGTTTCTTTCGTTTTTTCTCTACTCTACCGCATTACTTAGCACTCCTACTTTCCCGACGTCTAGCCGTTTACTGTAGTTTATCATCATTAACATGTGTAGTTGAGGAGGAGCTCGTCCTCCTCACCACGGAGTTATGAAACTGGAAGTCTTAGATCTATAGCTACATCCCACAAAGCACGAGATAGGGGTTTGAGACCCTGCTGAGGTGAATATATTATTTGGCCATATCTCACCACCTTTCTAGTAGCTTCCTCATCAAGATCGACAGTGAAAAAAAACAGTCAAAAAATCAAAACCAAGCAAAATCGCTGGTTCTCATTTCTGGATTCCTCGTGATAATTGGCACGTTGACGCGATGTAAGCTTTAATGAAAAAAACCTAATCAATGCTTTGTTACTGCTTTTTAGCGTTCAGCTCCCGTGGTCAAAAATTGGCAAGGAAGGTAAAAGAGGTCTCAAGAAAACGGGCAAGGAACTAGGAAGATTCGGGAAAAGGGCCGGCAAGGAAGCTAAAAGATTCGGAAAGAGAATCAAAAAGAAGCTCAAAAAAATCTTCGGGAAATAAGAATGTGATATTTCGTTGATTTGTCGTATGGCTTGGTGGTGAGCCATGATAATGTTGCTGTTGAATAAATCCTTCTTATAATGCTTGTGTCTATTTGTTTGCTCTAACACAGCGACGAAAACGTGACGCGGTTGTGCGTCACGGACATTGCGGCCGCCAAACTGCTCATGTCCCACGTGGCAAAAAAGCCTAAAGGTGCGTTGCCGTCAACGTGTTAACAGTCGATACACAGAGTCTCTTAGTCATCTTCAATGATCCCTAAGCACACACTACGCGATCAAATCACCAGACGAATTCCTTCCGCGAATAAGATTGCTGGTTTTGCGACGGCGGACATAGGGTTATTTTGCAACAGAAAACGCGAGTACAGGCAGGGTCAACCGTCTGTTGGACTTTGTCCAGCGAGGGGGGTCGTATTCGGTTTTGGAGGAAATGTGGGTGGAGTTGGGCTGTGTCAACTGGTCTCAGAATCAAATACTATAGTAACAGCTCTGATGGTAAGGGTGGTTGCTTCAACCACGGACAACTCTAACGACCACACGAAAACCGTTGCGGTGTATGCCGTCTAACCTCTTCGCTTATCTTC